GTGATAGCAGCGGTGAATAATGAGAGAGAAGAAGGCGAATAAGTACTTCACCCGAAATTTCCACGGCCCTGCACAGCCCTGTATTAAATGATCACGCCTTTCTGACAGTTTTGCTTTCTATATATTGATATATCACAAGAAAAACATTTCTGAGAAAGAATAACATAAAAAGTCACCACCCTTTACTTGAATTTGCAAATGAAGACTATTTTGTTTAACTTTTACATGTATTATCACATAACTTTACGTAAACTGTATGGTTGGGTCTTACGGAACCATGAAATAAATTACGCTTTTCGCAATATGTTTTACATATTCTAAGATGAATGATGCTATTTGAAGAAATGATACTTTTAATATTTGCATTGGATTTGGGGGAGCAAAAGAAAAGACTTTTAAGCATAATGATGCCCAGGTTTCTGAGACATAAATCGCACCAGCTAAAAATTATTATACAATTTATGTGTTCCAAAAAATACACATTTTAAGAAAATAAAGCCACAGAGCATATTAAAGTATAAATGAAAGCATATTGAAGCGTAATGAAAGCAGGCGTGCTCAAAAGAAATACATAATAAAAATATAGTATCAGTATGATCCCATAGCATTGTGATTAGTTGCAGACAATAGAAAATAGTTAAGAGTGACAGAAGATATTCAAGAACGGATAGTGGTGGAAGATAGGAAGCACTTCAGAATGAACAGATGAGGACGCTAATAAAGTAATTAATAATAATAATTACTACTATTTTATAATAATAATAATAATAGTAGTAGTAGTAAGAATATCTGTGAAAAATAGGATCACTATTGACAATATATTGTGAAAAATAGTTAGAAATTAAGTGAAATTATATTATCACCTTAGGTTGTGATTCAAGCAGGTGCAGAATGTGTCATAAATATTTCCACTTGATAGTTGTGCTACGTTTGACGCTCCACTTGCGGTCAGGTTGGCCTCCAGTTCGTGAATAATACTAAGATGGACTAGAGCGTCTCTTATGTCCTAACTGTGCTCAGTCATAAGGAGTTTATGATTAGCCATACAAAGATATCTGCAGTTAGGAGACTGTCTTAGAAAACTACAAGTATATGTCATATTTGTGTGTCTTATAAACATAGCGAAAGCATGTTTAAAAAAATAATAATAATGCATCCTGAATTAAGATTATTAAAAATTAAGATGATTATTTATTGAAGAACGAACAGTTTATATCCTAATTAATTCAAAATAATTTTTATCCTGATTTCTCATTAGTATTTTAATTTCTTTTTATTATTTTAATATTGTTTTGTTGATTTAAAGTATTTTAATTAGTTAATTTTTAATCCAAAGGGACAATTAGCCCAGAAGGACTATTGATTTCGTTTTGGCTCATTGCGTCGATTCACGATAAGTGTTGTTTCAATGAATGTTCAATCACGTTTAAAATTGTTGACACCAAATATTATCGCCCTATATTTTATTTAAAGAAATTAAATAATGAAGTATCTGCATGAATGTTTGTATGTTTCTCGTATTGTGATAAAAAAAAGGTACCTAGATCCATCAAAATTTGAATAACGTAATCTTCCATACAATATGGCATATGAAAGTCCTAATTTGAATTTGAATTTTTTTTTATTATCGATTTCATAGTTTTTAAAACTTCAACAAATTTTTGATTAACAAACTAAATGATTTCCAAGCGAGCAATGCCAACACTGTACGAAAAAAAAAAAAAAAAAAAAAAAATTGTCTCCAGTGCGCGAGCTTCTATATTGGAATTTCTAAAGATATGCTCAGTTTAAAATTTTTTTTGCGATATTGCTGTCGAACATAATTTTATGGTTTATGTGCGAACAACATGATATTTAATATATAAAGGTAACACACAAAATGTTAAAAACACGCCCCTTTGGATGTAATTTATAATCTGAAACATTTCCGATTTTTTTCATTTGTTTATATTTATATCACTCCTTTTATTTTTAATTTAATTTTTCTGATTTATTTTCTTAATTTGTTTTAATAATTATCCAGATGTAATAAAGAAATATGGATCTGTTGAAAATACTTCCTGCAGCTGGAAAAGGATCGAACATTTTCAACTATTATTTATTATAGTTTTACTTTTGCTTCAGCTTTCAATTTTATTTTAAATATTATTATTCTTGTAAATAAGTGTGACACTTTTCATCGATTTACTTATATTGATTTTCTCTTGATTGTGTATACATATGTTTGAGTGTGCGTGGTGATTTATTTCCTTGTGGGTGACATGATCTTGCACGAGAGCTTAATTAGAATAGGTATCAATTGAATTTTTCATCATGGTCGGGAAAATTGTTGCGTAGATGACTTAAAATTTTACAAAACACAACTTGCTTTAGGGGTTAACATAGCTTTTTATTTCTGGAGGAAGAATTTCATAACACATATCTTCTTAATTGAAACACCACTAAGGAGGCTAAATGTGGCCCACAATTTTATTTACGCAATTGCATCTTAAACAGTGAGAATAAAGAGTTTAACTAAGAGACGTGATTTAGCAGGACAGTGCAAGCGGCGAAAGATAATGCATACACGGCAGCTGAAGTATTTATACTCTGAAATTCGTTGTTTGAATTTTAAAAGATTCTTAGATATATGCTCACATCAGTGCGGATCCCTGCAGAAAAGAAATACTGCGTCTGTGCAGATGTGAAGGTAGTATTCACATTAGAAATTTAGAGTTCTATTGCGAGTTATGTGTTTTCTAGTTTTATTTCTTAGATAGATATATAAAAAAGTTGCGTTAAAAATATTAAAATAGATTGGAAAAACGGAAGTAAGAAGATTTTGTAATGTAATGTGCGTGTGGTTATTAATTAAGTTCAAATAAAATTGAAGTTAAATAAAGTCCTAAAAGCTGTAGGAATTTCGTGTTAATAATTTTAAACTAAACCAAAGTCGAAGCAAATTCAGACTTATTATTCAGTGTTGTAAAAATAAAAAAATATGAAATCGTACATGCATAAACGGTTTACATTAATTATTAGCTAACATTAGCTTATATACACTCAAGAGCCAAAACATTATGACCAGCCCTATATTTTGCGATGAACGCGCCTGGATGACGTGGAAGGCACGTGATCAGGTGGAAGTGGTATTTAATTGCTGCTGGAGAGTCTGAAGAATCATTCTTTCACTTACTTTTGTATGTGATGGGAAAGGCTGCGGATCTAAGCGACTTTGATAGAGGGCAGATTGTAATGGCTCGTAGGCTCGGAACAAGTATTTCCGAAACTGCACGACTCGTGGGTTATTCGCGATCTACAGTTGTTAGTACGTATGAAAAGTGTATGAATGACGGTGAAACCAGCAGTAGACGACATGGTGTTAGACGTCCACACGCTATCAAAGAAAAAGGTCGTCGGAGACTGTCTCGCATGGTGAAGCAAAACCGGAGCCAGACAGTGGCTCAGCTGACAGCCGAATACAATGCAGGGACAAGTAGAAAAGTAACGCAGCACACTGTTCAGTGGACACTGTTGGATATGGGGCTACGCAGCAAACGTCCCACTCGTGTGCCTTTGCTGACCAAGCGTCATCGCCAACTTCGCCTGCGCTGGGCCCGGGAATTTCGCGACTGGTCCATGGATCAGTGGGAGAGAGTTGCCTGGTCAGATGAATCACGGTTTGTCATTCATCATGCCGATGGCCGTGTCAGGATACGCCGTCTTTCAGGCGAACAGTTGCTCCCTCAATGCACAGTAGGTCATACACAGGCCGGTGGTGGCGGTATTATGCTCTGGGGGACATTCTGTTGGGCGTCTCTGAGACCCGTGGTTGTGATAGAGCAGACGATGAATGCTACAGGGTATCTGAACATCACTGCGGACCAGTTGCACTCTTACATGGCCTCTGTTCCAGCTGGAAATGGAATGTTCCAACAGGACAACGCCCCGTGTCACAAGGCTACAATTGTGTTGGAGTGGTTCCAGGAACATGATGCTGATTTCCAGTTGATGTCCTGGCCGCCTAACTCACCGGATGTCAATCCGATAGAACACATTTGGGATCTCATAAGACGGCAGCTCAGAGGTCAAAGACCACCAATTCGCAGTATCTCAGATTTGCGTGACCGTTGCTACAACATCTGGTACAATCTGTCTCCGGCCATCTATCAAGGACTTGTGGCATCCATGCCAAGGCAGGTTGAAGTTGTGTTGCGCGCCAAAGGTGGCCCAACTCGTTATTGACAGGTCATAATGTTTTGGCTCTTGAGTGTATGTTAGTTTGCATTAGTTACAAAATATTTAACCTGTTAAGTACTATATAAAAGTGGGTAGTAAGAAATTCAATCGAAATATAACCTTATTCAGTCGCTTAAAGGCTATAAATATATTTTTAATGATATGTCAAGAAAATAATTTTAAATTACAGAATTCCTGTTTGCAAAAGATAACTATAAGTAGAGCAATAAATCTATGCATACCTATGTAATTATGTTAAAAAATTCTAATTTATAAGAATATCTTATTAGTAATGAAATATTAAGAGTTGTGTTAATAAAATTACTGTTTATTAAATGCCTATCTAGTTTCTAACGGTGCAGAGGCAGCAAACTTCAGAAAAATAAATGCACAGATATAATGATTTAGAATTCGTTAATGGTTATGCGGATAAGAACTGAAATTATTAGCTTATTATCAAACAAATTTTAATGAACTACCTGCACAATAAACCTTTGTAAGTTAATTTCTTAATTCTACTTTTGTAAGTATGCATGTATAATTATTTGAGAGCAATTAAAGTTAGTCTCAACATTTTTAATAAGTTTCGTTTGCTAGAGACTTAAAAGCTGCACACATTAGTGAAACAAATACTTTGTCAAAAATATATTTCTGTTGGGAAGGAAAAGAGATTTCACATTTCATTCACTGTTTATCCGCATCGTGAAATAGTTGGAAGCGAATACTTCCGTTGCATTTTCTCCTGAAAAATTGATATTTTATTTTTTGATGTGTCTTTTCAGGAAACCCATTGTGTCCCGCCGGATGAAAAGGTACTTCTCTCGAGAGACCATTTGCGTGTGAACCTTTTTTATCTGAAGAAAAGAAGTATATGAACAGATTCATCTATACTTGAACAAGGAACTCAGAACAAAAATTCTTAAAATAGCTTTGTCTGAAATAAAAAGATACGGGAAGGTTCTGCAGCATCCATGTATCTAGTGTAAGAATTTAAAGGGTCTGGAAAAAGATATCTCCTGCAGTTTAGATTAAACTACTGAGTGCTTTTAAGGAATCGGAAAGAAAATTTCTGAAAGAATTCAAGAGAGAAAACTTCCGATGAAATAATGAGAAATACAACTATCAAATAACACAAGAATTTTAATGGTGCATATAATTTAATTCTTATGATTTCATTACTGGCGGTACGCTAATTGGTTTTCTTAAAGATATTTAGAATTAAATGCACTTGATGGAAAAGTGTTGTGATGTTACATTTATAACAGCCATGAACGTTTAGGCATTTGACTTGCTCCTGTGAATTTAACTCATTTACAGTATCAGTGATGTAACAATTACATCAAGAATATTGATTAGAAAGCGGAAAAGAAGCACGCCAAGCGAGATATAAAATTAGTAACACAACAACCTTGAGTTTGGCGTAGATTTAAGTCAAGATCTCAATCGATTTCGAGAGCATTCAGGTGCAGGTCCCTCTTCATAAGGAGCTTCAAGACGGGCCAAACACTCATACTCAACAGTAAAGTAAACGAGCAGGTAGCGCCATCTATCAGCAAATATATTAGTGAAATTAAAAAATAAGTTAATAGATTTTTAAAAGCATTAGGAAGGACTGGATTGAACTTAAAAGTAATTAACTAAGCAAGATACATCTCTGTGAATGTGAAAAACCCCAAGAAAATCCAATTCAGCAAGCTTAAATCTACGCCAAACTCAAAGTTATTTTGTTACTAATTTTAAATATTGATTAGCATTAAACTTATTCGTTTTCTTAAAGCCAATTAATCCTTTTTTGTTTAATAAATTTAACATTAACAAAAATATGAAAGGCTGACACTGAACCGTGTTAAGGAAAAACAGAAATGAGGATGTTTCGCCCAAATTAATAGATTATATAGTTTTCGTATTGAACACACAGATTTGGGAGTAACATTTAAATGCATCATTTTGAAATAGCGATAAAGATATATAAATGTGTGCAATATTAAGAAAAAAAAATTATATATTCTGTTTAATTGGAAGTTCCCAAAAATCTAATATTTCCACTTAAAAAAGGAAAGCTTATCTTAGAATATACAAATTAAATGCATTTAACATCTATTTTACTTGAAATTATTTTTTAACAATATAAAACTTTAAAAAAAAAACTGAAGGTCTGTTAGTTTTTTGTAAATTTAAACTCACCGAACATTAAAACATACTAAAACGAAATAAAATTTTTCTCCAAAATTTATTTATCTTTCGTTAGAATAAAAATAAATAAAATTTCAAATATATTCATGATTTACTTTTCATCACTTCAATAAATAAATGTATGTTCGGTTATTTAGTGTAAAATATTTTGAAAAATCAAATATAATTTTATAAATAAGAAAATGATAGGCCTGATTTATTAAATAGGCCAAAATATATTTTCATTGATTAGATTTCGATAGTTTAAAGCAATGAAATATGATAAGACCTTTGGAATAACAGAAACAATTTAAGGAAAGAAAAACGATTTGTATACTTAATGCATCAAATTTAATACTTACATAAATAGGTAACTTCGAAGTATCTTTATATATCTGAAAAGGGCATACATGTAAAATAATCTCACTCAAACAAATAAGCAAATTATATATACATATTTTAAATATTTCACTTAATATCCCAGAATCCGTTCAACATTTCAATACCATAAAAATGAAGCAGCAAAATTAAATATATTACTATTAAATTTCTTATGTTGAATGCTCTTATATAAAATTTGCAATGTTAAACTAAAAATAAAAGTTGCATGTAATAAGTTTTTATGACTGCCCAAAGAGATGGAACTTCTAAAATATTTTAAGCCATAGTCTCTGAAAGTTACATATATAGACAAGAAAATGACTAAAATACCGCTCAACTATTGCTACATTTATTTTTGCTTTTATTTTATTTTATATTTAGTTTTTAAGAAGAGCATAATGTTTCAATGCTGAAAAATCAAAATGGCTCTAGAGATTACTTTCGAAATTTTTCTTCTGCCATTGAGATGAAATCATTTCATTAAAATATAAAATTCTTGGGCTCTCGAAATCTGTTTTTACGCGATAAAGTTATCAATAACGATATTTTTAGCCTGAAAAATGAATTAAATCTTAGTACAGCCTTATAAAATCATTCGAAGGTTGAAGTATATATTTTTAATTCAATCGCAAAGTTTTTTGTGAGACTGAAAGAAACTTTTGTGCATTTCTGTGTTTTATAAAGGATAAAAGGGAAATGTTGAGTATTTTTTATTCTCTTTCTTTCTTCTTCCTCCGCTTCTTTGATTTCAGTCAAGTAGGATATGATGTTTCAGAATTATGCGTATTATGAAATGCAGTAGATTTTTAAAACTGCTTTCATTTGGTAACAGCGATAAAGTAGCTTAAACCTGTTGGCTCATGATATTGTATTGGTATTTCAGAAGGATTATATTTGAAATGGACACAATGTTGATAAAAATAAATCTTTATTAATGATAAATCATTTTGATGTTCTATTTGTATTGTTCCTATAGTATGTGAATTTGTTATATCAATAATAAAATGAAAATATATTTTTGTATTAAAGGTATTACATGTTGATTAAGTGTCTTATTCAACATTTTGCAACATTTGGCTGAGAATATAACTTAACCATTTTTATTGGTAACAAATTTCTGAAACAAAAAATATAAAAGCCCTTTTGTTAATACACATTTTATTTTGTTTGTCTTTTACACACGTAAAGTAATTTTTTGTATATTTCTGCCATAGTAACTACAAATATTTTGAAAATAATAATATCAGTAATTTAAACTTTTAACAGTTTTAAATTGTGAATACTATAGTATGCTATGAGTTTATAAAAAATTCTTCAAATGAATAGTCCAGATGAGCAGAAAGAAACATCCAGTTTATTTTTATTAACACTGTATGAATAACTGTAGATAACTCATGGAGACTCATACATTAGCCAAATTCTCCTCAACAAACGAAACATATCGTTCGCTGCTTCAGAGAAAACTCAATTCTGTTAACTTTAAACTGCAGTCTCTCTGAAATCACTCAAAACTGAATGACAACTGGCTGTTGGAGCTAGTTTTTATGATATTGTCTGAGGCTTCTGGAAGCTTTAGAGAAACTCTGTTCGCCAACATTTAACTGCGACTTGAACTCGTTTGTCCTATAGAGCATTTTACGAATTTCATAATTTAAACACCCCTGGATTCAGAGTCACAAACTCTATAAGTTTATATAAGAACTAAGCACATATTTAAAAAGTACATAAAAAGTAAATATATTCAAATTTAATTACAAAAAATGAATGCTTAAGTTTACAAATAAAATGCGGCAAATAAATAAATAAGAGCAATACAAAATAATACAACAATGCTGAAAAACAATAATGCAAACAAATGGACTAAAATTTATTACAATATACTATATATATTATATATATAATTATATATATAATATATATATATATATATATAATATATATTTATATACATTTATAATTGTTCTTAAACTTAATATGTTTCACAAACTATAATCAATCAACAAATGGACTGTATTCCTATTCCTACACTTTTATTAAATTACACTTGTCAGCGATGCGAAATAATTGATACAAAATAAGCGAGCCATTCTACATGGCTGTCACAAACACAATTCTATCAATCAATTATCTTGTTGCCACACATAAAGTTCAAAACTAAAAGGAAGAAAAACAAAAGGAATTTACGCTGTTTGCAACAATAAAATGAAGCAAACGATACTCACATAAACATCCTGGCCCTCGTTGAAATCCCAGGGGATTTCAACAGTTGGAGCATTTTGAAACTTCTTAGTCTGTAATAAAGATAAACATAAGAAAAATAATACAAAATATTATATGCGAAGCAGTTCATAGTTTTTTAGTCTGAATAGGAAGAGGACACAATTTCACGACTGGTCGTTTTATGACACCATGACCAGTTTTAATACTAGCAACTCTGACTCTTTGATCTGAGCCCGGATGAACAGCAATTATTCTCCCTAACCTCCATTTAAGAGGCGGAAGGTTGTCTTCTTTGATGAGGACTAAGTCATTGACTTCTAAATTGTTTTGACTTTTTTGCCATTTAGGTCTTTGTTGAAGCTGAGACAGGTATTCTCGACTCCATCTTTTCCAGAAGTGCTGAAAAATAAACTGTCTCACATGCCATCTGTCAATGTGATTGAAGGAACTATAATTTAGGTCTGGTTCAGGTATGGCAGTTAAAGACGTTCCTATTAGGAAATGACCAGGTGTTAATGCAGTTAAATCATTTGGATCAGCCGATGTTGGACACAATGGCCTAGAGTTGAGACAAGCCTCAACCTGCGCTATCAAGGTCTGAAATTCCGGATAGGTCAGCACAGTATCACCAACAGTCCTTTTTAGATGTAATTTCATTGACTTTACTGCCGATTCCCATAGTCCACCAAAATGGGGAGATGATGGCGGGTTGAATATCCATTTTATTTCCTCTAAAGACAAAAATTTGTGAATTTCTTGATTTTGCTTACATTGCAAAAAACATTTTCTGATTTCTTTGTCTGCACCTTTAAAGTTAGTACCGCAGTCACTATAAATCTCAAATGGTTTCCCTCTTCTTGCAATAAATCGTTTCAATGCACTTAAAAATGCCTTTGTTGACAAATCTTCTACCACTTCAAGATGTACTGCCTTGATTACAAAACACACAAATAAGCATACGTAATATTTAAATGATTTTTGTCCACGTCCTGCACGATGTTTAATCATGAACGGTCCAGAAAAATCTATTCCAGTTCGATGAAATGGTCGCGATTGTGTTACTACTCTAGATTCCGGTAGATCAGCCATTATTTGACTTGCAGTTTTAGCTCTAAGTTTGCAACACGTGATACAAGATCTTACTACTTTTCGGATAGCAGATCTAGCAGCTATGATCCAAAATTGCTGTCTAATTAAAGATATAGAAGAAGTTCCGGTGCTGCATGCAGATATTTGACATGAAAGTGTCTAATTATGATTTCTGTCAGATTGTGTTTTGAAGGTAATAAGATTGGATGTTTTTCATTTTCTGACAGTTGCGCATTTTTCAGTCTTCCTCCTACACGTAACACTTTGTTGTCATCTAAAATTGGACACAAGCTAAGGAGGTTGCTGTTTGTAGGTAAGTCCTTTCCCAACTCCAAACATTGAATTTCTTTAAAAAAGTGAAATCGCTGTATTATTCGGACAATACAGAAAGTTGCAGCTCGAATTTCATTACTAGATAAAAAAGACGTATTTCTTTCTAGATATGCTATGCTACTTTAGAATTCAATATGAATCTTAATATCCAAGGTTCAGAAACTACAAATGAGACTGTTTTACGTGCATCTGGTAATGCCTCTTCATTTATAAGAATATTTTAGACAAGGCAATCTCACTGCACTTTAACCAAGAAGGACCATTCCACCACAATTGATGAGATAATAGTTCTGCAGTAAATAATCCACGTGAAGCACAATCAGCTGGATTTTCCTTTCCATCAACATGACTCCAGTTCTCAGGTGGTAAGATGGATTGTATTTCAGAAACTCTATTGGATACGAATACTTGCCATTTTTTAGGATCTGACCTTAGCCATGACAACACGATTTGTGAATCACTCCAAGCTTGCACTAAATCAAAATTTATAACTAATGCAGCTTTTACAGACTGAATCAAGCGTGCCAATAACACTGCTGCACATAATTCCAGTCTTGGAATCGTAATAGATTTTAATGGTGCTACACGAGTTTTAGCTGTTACGAGTTTAACATTAATGTCAGAGTTATTGCAAGTTTTGATATAAATAACTGCTGCATAACCTCTTTCAGACGCATCACAAAATCCGTGAAGTTCACATCGAAAATAATCAGGTAGCAGAATTTTCCTAGGTATATTTATAGAATTCAAAAGTTTAACTTCTCTACATAGATTTCTCCAATTTCGATCAATCTCTTCTGTTACAGGATCATCCCATGATAACTGTAATTTCCACAATTGCTGAAGGATCATTTTAGCGAGAATTACAAACGGAGCTATCCACCCCAATGGATCGAATAGTTTTGCTACGAATGACAAAATAATTCTTTTAGTCGGAACACTTTGATACTCTATTACACCGACATTACATTTGAATTCATCATTGTCCGGATGCCATTCCAATCCCAGAACTTTCAATGGTTTTGTCTTCTATTACACGATGAATATTGTCACTATCTGTGTTTGTTAAGCCAGAGGTTTTTTAACAATGACGGTTCACTTGTCGACCATTTGTGAAGCTCAAAGCCACCACTTTTTAGCAGATGTTGCAATTCGTCTATCAATGCAATACCTTCCGAACTATCTTTTACACCAGTTAACATATCATCAACATAAAAATCTCTTAAAACTATATTCTTTGCCTTTGGAAAGTTCAATCCTTCATCAATCGCTAACTGACTCAAAACTTTGGTTGCAAGATATGGAGCAGCTGCAGTTCCATATGTAACTGTTTTCAAACGACAAACTTGTATTTGTTTATACGGGCTATCTCTCCATAATATTCTCTGAAAATCTCTATCTTTTTCATGAACCTTTATCTGTCTGTACATCATTTTAATATCAGCGGTTATTGCAATGTTATGAAGTCTAAATCTTAGTAAAATACAAATTAAGTCATCTTGTATTTTTGGGCCTATCATTAGTGTATCATTTAAAGAAACACCTGTGGTTGTTTTTTTAGCGCTCGCATCGAAAACAACTCTCAATTTTGTTGTTAAGCTAGAGTCCTTCAACACGAAGTGATGTGGGATATAATAGTGTTTATTCTCTAATTCATAATCTGTGTCTGGCACTAATTCTACGTGTTCTAGTGAAAAGTACTCTTTCATAAACTGAATATACTGGTTGTAAATTTCTTTCATAGATAACAGCCTCTTCTCCAAGTATTGAAATCTTCTGTACGCCATTTCACGGGAGTCACCTAGAATATCTCTATTATGTTTGAATGGTAATGCAACTGAATAACGACCTGATGTGTCTCTAAAATGCGAGTTTTTAAAATGTTCTTCACAAAGTTTTTCTTCATTTGTTAAAGGTTGTACATTTGGAAACTTTTCTAACTCCCAGAAAGAATTTACTAACTCATCTGTGTTTGTATTCAAATGATTTACATATACTGGCTCAAAATTTGTAGATTCAAAATTTGTAGTACCCGAAATTATCCATCCCAACCTCGAATTTAGAGCAAATGGTAGATCAGGACCACGTTTGACAATTTCTCCCGTCATTAAATGCAGAAATACATTTACTCCAAATAAAATGTCAACTGGTTGTGACTTGTAAAATAATGGATCAGCTAATTGTAAATCACTGAAGTTATCGAAGATGATTGATGGCAAAGATACATAGGGAATGTTATCTGTCACCACCTTGTCCAGTACAAACGCTGATGTTGATACACGAATATCACTTTTAAAATGAGAAGTGAATACTAAATCGACTTCCCCATTACTTATAGTATTAAATTCTCCTAGACATGATACAGAAATGGAATTATCTTTCACTCGTAATCCT